TTCAATGGTTTTCTAGACAATATTGGCTTTCTAAAAATAAATTATCAAATTTAGAGTCCGTTTGGTTCATGGATTAGAACCATTTTTGATTTACGTGTATTTTTTGTAAGAGAAAATACTGTAACGAACCACGAATCATGATTCGAATCAGAGAACGAATTCCTCCACTAAACATCACCTTAAATACCATTACCAAGTTTGTCTATTTTTTTCTTTCTTTTTGAAGCTTTCTTAGGTAGGGTACACCTAGTGACCTTTATAAACCTCAAAACTAATTAAAATTATACAAAATAAAAATTTAATTTAGAGCATGTTTGGTTCATGAATTAAAATTATGAGATTATAATTATTTTTGATTTACGTGTATTTTTTATGAGAGAAAATATTGTAGCGAATTATGAACCATGATTCGAATCAGAAAACGAATCCTCTAACTAAACGGGCTCTTAATAAATAAATAAATAAATAAAAAAAGATGACGATTTTCCAAAAGATTATATAGGTTTGACGATATCGGTGGTTTGTGTTCTAATGGCTTAAAAATTGAGATTGACTTATAAACACCAATCATTTGCCTTGATGTAGTGTAGCTATAGATCCGTTATTTTAGGCTTTTTTTTTTTTCTAGTTGGGAATCTTCTAGAATATGTTCAGAACCATGTAAAAGTGACTCTGCCAACACATGTTGGCTGGGCTCCAGCTCCACTTACATTGAGGGCATAAATGAAAAAGAATTATAGCAATTTTTTCTTTTTTCACTTAAAAGCAATAATGATTTCAGCAACATTCTACACTGACAACATATCATACCTTGGTAATTTACATATACACCACCAAATCACCTTCCGAAGACTTTTGTGGGCATAGAGTAAGTTTAAATCTATAACTTAGGTAATTGCTTCACTTCCCAGATAACATTCTAACACAGGAGGCCAGTCACAGTTACTTCTCACATTTATTTTTCCGACAATTATGTGACATAGTCTAAAAATATATGTGCATCGACAACTATCAATTCCTTAAGGCACAATGTTAAAAAAAGGTAAGTTGTGCAGTCCTATATCACTTGAGAATGTTGATAGGTCCTGGTTTATAAGGAATGATATCATCTCTCAATGGTATGAGGCTTTTTAGGGTGAGACCTAAAAACAAAATCATGCAGGCTCAGGCCCAAAGCGGGCAATATCATACCAGGTGAGGGTACGGGTCGTTACATATGGTATCAAAGTCTCTACCCAGCCGAAAATGTAGCCAAGGAGGACGTTGGGCCCCCATGAGGAAAGGTGATTGTGACAACCATCAATCTCTTGAGGCACAAGGCCAACAAAGGGTAAGTTGTGCAGTCTCACATCGCCTGAGGATGTAGATAGGTCCTGATTTATAAGGAATGACATCACTTCTCAATGGTATGAGGCATTTTGGGGTGAGGCCTAAAAACAAAACCATGTGGGTTCAATCTCAAAACGGACAATATCATACCAGGTGGGAGTGTTAAAATTACATAATTAATATTTAAATTTAAAATAATTTAAAGAAAATATGACGACTATAACCATACACTAATGATTTGTTTTTATTATTATTATTTTTTGCGCTATTATAGGATTCACTTTATTTTTCTTTTCCTTCATGACAAACAAAAATATAAGAGCAGAAAAATTAGGATGGTGGCTGGCTGATGAAAATCTGACTATCTAAAAGCATGTATGATAAATTTTTGTACCCTACTATACAAATCTCTTTATTTTTCTTTTCCCTCAAACCAAAACATATGAGAAGAGAAGTTATGATGGTAGTTGGATGATAATTCATTCACAGGGCAATTAAAAGTGTTTACTGTTTGTAATGATAAGCACATTCCAATCCGCCTTATTTTTCTTCATCTTTTTTTCCTCATAAGTAAAATGATTAAAACAAAATGATGGGTTTATTTTTCAACTTTTAACAGAGCATATTTATTAATTTCAAGCTAGCTATTTCAGTAGGCATACAATGTTTTGATCACATGTCAATGTCTTAACTTAGGAAAGGGTCAAAATGCAATGACAAGAATCTAAAACTGTTCAAGAATGGGACAAAATTCAGTACCAAACTAACATGCATACCCAGAAAATATGCTCCAAAGAGAAAAGTTCTTACAAGATGCCAAGAAAATCAAGAGAAAACCAGCAAGAGAGAGAGAGAGAGAGAGAGAGGGAAATATCATTGAATTTGAGTAGAGATGGTCCAATAATCTATAATCTATTTGCTACGGTTACATGTGCAAGTCATAACTTGATTAATGGCTTCTTATTGAATTAAACTAAAAACTGAATTTATTACCTTGCTTGTACATTTATTGCTTATCCACTCCAACCATCCAATTATTCACATGATCACATCTATGCTTATATATAATTAGAGGTCTTCTTCACATTCAATACAACAAATAGTTGGATTTTGATGGAACACCAAATAGTCGGTTAAAGGATTGAACTTCTTGCCTCAGTTTGCTATATGGAATGACTTCCAACCAAAAAACAAAAAAAAAAAAAAAACAAAAACAAAAACAAAAATAAAAAAACAAAAAAACAAAAAAAAAAACAAAAACAAAAAAAAGGAGATTCCAAAATTCAAATACTAGTGTCGTACTTGCTTGGAAGTTAGAAGTTATAACACAATTGTGAATCTTATAAGAAAAAAATGTGTGGAGTCACCACTATCAAGCATAATAATTAATAAGATCTCATTTATTTTACCGATTTAAATTTTATTATAGTAAAAATATTTTATAAACAGTTACATTTAATTTTTTTTATTATAATAAAAAATTCAGATAAATCACATATCAAGTCAAATTAAAAATTTAAATCAACAAACTAAACAGGTTTTAAATTGTTTCATTTACAAGGCTTATGCTACAGAACCTATTTTTTTATTAATGTGTGATACCGTCGGTGTCTTAATAGACGTTTGATTCATAAATTCAAAACTATAATTTAAAATCATCCTCAATTTATATATATCTTTTATAAAAAAAAATATTATAATAAATCACGAATCATAATCTCAATTATCATACGAATCTTTATCCAGCCTATAACATTGTATATTTATAAAAAGGACACAAGGACATATAGATGACATCTAGCCACGTGATTATCACTACTCCTACCACTGAGCATAGATGGTACCTTTAGACCTGTCGGCCTTTTCCTAACACCTATAAAAGAGGTCAGAATAGGTGTCAATTGAAAAAAAAGAAAAAAAAAATACTTTTGAAAGTGCTCACTGTGTTTTCAGGTTGTCATTTTGGGCTGGCCCAAACAGTTCAGCACGAAACCCAGCTCTTTAATTCGGGTTGGGCCCAGATAACCTAAATCCGAAAGGCTAATCAGATCGACCCGACTCTGTTTTGCGAGGCAGTCGTAATTTCGGTTTTTAACAATTTTTACCATGCGCCATCAAACAACTTCTACATTTAGCTGAGATTCTCTTTGTTTGACGCTACTACTGACTAGAAACGAAATGATCAAGAGAAGCACCATAACCGCATGTTTGATCTGCCAATCAATACTAAACACCATAAACATCAATGAGAAATTATAGGTTGCGTTTGCAGTTATTTTTGTTTTTATTTTTCACATTTTTCAAAAAAAAAATAAAAACGTAAAAAAAATGATATTTGACACAATTAAAAATAAAAAATAATAATAATAATAATTTTTTAATTTAATGTAAAATAAAAGAGAAATGAAAAACGACTTTCAATCATTTTTTATTTTTTATTTTAATAAATTTTTTTACGCTGAAAATAATTTCTTGATAAAACTATCAAACGCATTTTTAAAAATAATTTCTGTCTGAGATTAAAAACGTTTTCATTCCATTTTCATACAAAAAAACAAAATCACTTTAAAACGAGTTCCAAACACATCCTAATTTTTTTTGCAAGAAAGGAAATCAATAAAATAAATTATTCATTTCCAAGTGATTAACATTACAACCTCAGCGCAAAATTTTCACCCGACGATATCGGGCAAGTTCTAGGCACCTTGAACTTCACTTTTCAAATTTTCAGCTACATTGGCCACTAAGCAGGCGAATCTAGCTTCCGAGGCTAAAGAACTAACTATTGCCTCGATAGATCTGAGTTCCTCGTGAAACTCGGGATGCAACACCAATGCAGAAAAGTTCTCATCCAGCACAATGCCGAGACATTTTACGACATCTTCAAGCTTAGGAACCCAATCACAAGCCTTCAGACCCAAGGTCGACGCCTTGGGACAAGGAACCGCTTGAGGAAATCTCTCGTATTTCTTCAGCCACTTTCCCAAGTACCGAATCAAGCTCATCATCTCTTTGCCGTTCAACTTGCTAATGGCAGATGATAACACCACCTCATCAAGATTGGCCGATGCCAATAGATAATGCAAGCAGAGCTCTGAAGAAGAAAAACCATCGTATGCTACCATAAGCAAAATCGAGGCCTCTTTTGCGACGACAGCTTTCTTCCTTGGGAGATTTTTATCAGTGGCCTTGTCAATAGCTAACAGTGCTTGTCTCTCCCATTCCTTTCGCACATTAACCACACCGGCATGCTTCTGTGAACTAAGAAAATACTTCAAGATGAGACGTAATTCTGTTGGCCCAAGATCAGCTGCGTGCTTAACACAGTGACATAGCAAGTCTGATCTCTCCTTTACTACGAGTCTAGGAACCACATTTGAATAACAAGAATTCCCAACAAACCCATTGACAATCAAAGCTTCCACCAATTCCCAAATCTCAAAAGTAATGCAGGCTTCCAAAACCAGGGCAGCAACATTCTTTCCCATAAACAATCCAACTTTCTCAACTAGAACCCGTGAATACCCATCATTGGACGAAGCTACCCCAATTTGGATCCCAAACTTTTCCCTAATATTCTCAAGAAACTTGTTCAGCATTCCCAAAAACTCCTCTTTACTAAAAGACATCGGGTTTTTGAGCTTTTCCCCAAGCTCATTGAAGAAATTCTTGCACAAGTCAACAAACTTGGAATCAGATTCAGATATTTGCCATCCGGTAACAGGAATGGGAAGAGTCGACATGTTTGGTTCATCGCCTTTTGGATTCAAAATGGGGAAAATGGAATCAGGGTTGAGAACAACCGGGTAGTCTGGAAGAGTAGCGAGAGTTTGGGCACTGGCCGAGGCCTTGGTGATCAGTTCGAGTAAAGTCATGGCTAAAAACTGCAACCACCTTGATTTAAGTCTGTGTAGAGCATTCAATGAAGAAAGAAATTGTCAATCCAACAAAACAATAACCATAAATTTATAAATAGTAGCCTCCCCATCTTGCACCAAATTCGCATAAAATGAAAAAAAAAAAGATTTCTTTCCTAGTTTTGAAAGGCAGAATCATGAACCAAGGCGTTCAACGTTTTCCTTGCTCCCTATTTTTTATTTTTTTTTTCCAATTCAAAAGTCCCTATTCAATGGTAACGTTGTTGGACAATTTGCAACTGTAAAATTTGAAAATGATCAAGATGTTCTCTGTCCACTAAAGTAGCATACTACATAGAAACATATCTAACTCGAAGTATATCTAGAAGCATTAAATATTGCAAAATAAGTCGCAACATGAACATATCAGTTATAAAGTCCAAAATTAATCATATTTAATGAAAATTACAGTCCAAAATAGGTCATAATATGAAGATAATACATAGTCTGAAATTACAAAGACGAATGTTGTGGCCATGTTGCTTACAATTCTGATTAAAAAAATCAAACCTTTCATAACATCATAATCATATCAATTTCCAACAAATATCAAACTAATTTCACAAATCCTACAAATATGAACTTCTAACAGTATCCAACTAATCACACAACCCAACTTGCAACAAATAGCAAACTAATCAAACTAATATCAATCTTCCAAAAACAGAAAAGTAATTAACGAAAAATCACAAATAGCTAAAAATACAAACTAATGAAAATAGCAATTTTCACCCATATCAACCAAAAATCACAATGGCAATTTTCAACAATCAAATAAATTCCAAAAAAAAAAGAAAAAATCAATCAATTATCAACAAACTCCATACACCAACTTCTATTTCATAAGTTTAAACTTCAAATAAAAATTTCAAACACAAAACTTGAATAACCAATAAACCCAACTTCAACTTCAAACAAAAATGACGAACAAAATTGAAGCTCTCTTGATTCTTATGCTCAACAACTTAAACAAAATGTCTTCCTTGCCACTCTACTGTTTACTTATTTTCCCCAAATAGGCTTGGTTATTATCTCAGATATCCATTATCATCCAATAAGCCAAGATTTCCATTGCAAAGCCATCCACTTTGAGATTTGTATTTAAAAAAAAACCATATGAAATCCCACCGTATATCATAGAACAGAAGCAAAATGAAATGAATGATTACAACAGAAAGATTCAAATCTCCTCAGAGGCTTGGGTTTTCCACCACAGAATCCCAATTTTCAAACAAAAATTACAAACAGAAACTACAAAAAGAAAAATTACAAATAAAAAACCAACAACCATGGAGGAGCAGAGCTTACATTAAAATTTGGCTTGAAATCAGGCACGAAAGGAGGGCGGAAAGAGTTGGGGGCCGGGGCTCACTGATGAGCTTTAGGGTTTCTTTTCTTTTCCTTAAGAAGATGCACAGTTTAGCCAAGGCGTTTGTTACGTCTAGCCTCTTGAACTTTTGAGATTTTATTTTAAGGCCCTTCTGTTTTTTTTTTTTCAATTTTTTTTAATATAGCCCCATTAATTAACACAACTTTCGAATATTTATCCACTAAATTTAATTTCATGTGTCCTTTATTATATTAAAAGTAATAAAAAATATTGTTCCCAAATGAACTATTATAAAATTATTCTCAAATGTGTCCTTACGAGTCCGTTTGGTTTATGAATTAGAACCATGAGATTAGAATCATTTTCGATTTACATGTGTTTTTTGTGAGAGAAAATACTGTAGCGAACCATGAATCATGATTCGAATCAGAAAACGAATCCTCCAACCAAACGGGCTTTTAACTTTTTTTTTACAAGACTCTTTTAATTATTATATTATAAATATTTTTTTAAAATTTCCCTTGTTGAAATTATATTTATTTTCAAATGTATAGTTATTTAAACACTTTTTTTTTTCTTGTGGTCCTATCAACTATTATGTTCTCATATCTACTTTCTAAATAATTTTCTATCTAATGTACCACTAAAATCTTTATTACTTGAATATGTTCTTCTTGTCTATACATTATAATATTAACTAAAAACACATTTTGTTTGAAACATGCATTTTGGTTCATTCAACTTAACTTTTTTATTAAACTAAACAATTAAAAGAATAATAAATTAAAAAAACTAAACTCTTTGGAAAAATTTATATTCGGGTGTAAAAAATTCAATAAACTGATTATGCACATTTGTAGCATGTCTAGTTAATAGTATTAGGACTTGGAGGAAAAAACAAAGTTAATAGTATTAGGACTCAAAATTTTACGATTATATTAACTTTTTATCATTTTTAGTTTATGCCCGTAAAATAAAATTATGGTTCCGTGACTACGTGCCTAAAATACAATTTATAATTTTTGAAAAGAAAAAAGGGATTTTATTCATTTTTTATGCTGAAAATATTTTAATTATTATCTGTAACGGTTTGTTAGTTTATTTAATCTCTTTTTTTCTTTTCCAGACAGATTAATTTAATTCTTTTGATAAAAAAAATATAAATAAAAGGTGATAAAATGTAACGCCCCTTTACGGACGTCGGACGTCACATGAACCGTTATTTAACCATTCTCACCCTCCATTTTAAACGGTTTGCTTCTTACTCTTATCTGTAACATGATATAATTCTTAAGTAAGCAAAAGTTTAGTAAGTACACTTCCTTATCTCACAAAAAAATATAACTTTAGTTTTCAATGAAAACGTAACATAATCATCATCATGTACGAAGCGCACACACACACATATATATATAGCATATTTTTTCTTTGAATTTTCATATTAAAACATTGTTCATTTTATCTTTAAGGGCCTAAACGTTGTACCGTTAACATCATTAGTGTGCCGTCACGAAAGGAGTGAGGTAGTTAAAGTCAAACCAAACATGACAAGTTCACTTAGCGGGACAAACATAATATGTCAACCTTGTGGGACGGTCCACCTAGCAAGACAAACATAAACGGTGTGTAACACTTAATTAAGTGAATATATACATATACATTCTCTTAGTTTAAAACTCGTCATAAACCATAAATCATAGTTCAATAAATATCTTCATAAAAATTATCGTAAAAAGGATTGCAAGAGAATATTTAACTCATAATCCTTAAATCATAAACATTCCTTAACATTTTTCATAACATTTATCATGTTGCAAGTAAGAATGTGCTTACTTGACTCGCTAGCTTATTTAACCTTTTTGTTGTACAGGGTGACGAATGCCCCAGTTCACGATGTGCTCTTATTCTTAGGTTTCATGTCAAATCATTCCATAATAACGTTGGAAATCAATATTCATATCATTGAGACATTGAATCATAGCATGACTCATCTCATATCATTGTTACATAATTATACAATTATCATGACACCACTTTTATTCACATAAAATTACAATTCATAAAATCAGAAAGCCTTGACTCTTACTTTTAACCATTCTCACCCTCCATTTTAAACGGTTTGCTTCTTACTCTTATCTGTAACATGATATAATTCTTAAGTAAGCAAAAGTTTAGTAAGTACACTTCCTTATCTCACAAAAAAATATAACTTTAGTTTTCAATGAAAACGTAACATAATCATCATCATGTACGAAGCACACACACATATATATATATAGCATATTTTTTCTTTGAATTTTCATATTAAAACATTGTTCATTTTATCTTTAAGGGCCTAAACGTTGTACCGTTAACATCATTAGTGTGCCGTCACGAAAGGAGTGAGGTAGTTAAAGTCAAACCAAACATGACAAGTTCACTTAGCGGGACAAACATAATATGTCAACCTTGTGGGACGGTCCACCTAGCAAGACAAACATAAACGGTGTGTAACACTTAATTAAGTGAATATATACATATACATTCTCTTAGTTTAAAACTCGTCATAAACCATAAATCATAGTTCAATAAATATCTTCATAAAAATTATCGTAAAAAGGATTGCAAGAGAATATTTAACTCATAATCCTTAAATCATAAACATTCCTTAACATTTTTCATAACATTTATCATGTTGCAAGTAAGAATGTGCTTACTTGACTCGCTAGCTTATTTAACCTTTTTGTTGTACAGGGTGACGAATGCCCCAGTTCACGATGTGCTCTTATTCTTAGGTTTCATGTCAAATCATTCCATAATAACGTTGGAAATCAATATTCATATCATTGAGACATTGAATCATAGCATGACTCATCTCATATCATCGTTACATAATTATACAATTATCATGACACCACTTTTATTCACATAAAATTACAATTCATAAAATCAGAAAGCCTTACTCTTACTCAGTTAGAGAATTATAATTCAATTTTAATAAATGTAAAATTATAAAATTTGAACACATAAAATAATGATAACAACAATCAGATAATTCAGGAAATTTATTTAATCAATAATAATTTAATTTGACACCTAACATCACATAAGAATCATAGAATGACATAACTTAAATATCATAACATATCATAATAAAAGTGCACAAATAAAAATTAAATTCTACTTCAACATACAAGTTTGACATAAACACTTCGAGCTTGTCAGTCGCTCGTGACAGTCACCTGTGAAATAACTGAATAAGACACTTAATATGAATCTCATAAAATAAAAATTATTATCATGCTAGATCGTTAAATTTCCTGTTTTTTCGTTAAAAAGAAAATGACAGGCGTTACATAAAAGGAAACAAATGGTAGTTACTTTTTAAAAGGACTAGGTAGGTGCAACCGGATTGGTGCATTTGAGTACTTTTTTCAGTTAACTCTCTTGCAAAAATTTGTCCAAATATTATTATATACCTTGAAAACAATTATCATGATAGGATATATTTATATGGACATAATTCCTTTTTTATACGTAAAGGCTATATTTTTTGTTAGTGTTTCATTTAAGTAATAAATTTGTAATTATTGTGTCACATAAATTTTAACATTATCTTTAAAAAAAAAAAAAACATTATAGCTCTATATCTTTTTATTCCTTATATTTTTGGTAGAGGGAGGAAAAAGAAAAAGAAATTAGGGAATAACTCGAGGGGGAAAATTATTTTAACTGGACAGCTATTTTTTAATCCTTCCAATTATAGCGGTGAAGGTTTAGTACTAAAGTAATATATGTTGACAATTCTAATCCTTTTCTCCGTTTTTATGTAAAAACGTTTTTCCTTTCTATTTTTTTTTTCACCTGATATTTTACCTTCTACTTTCTATTTTTTAGCACCTTTCGGAACACAATGTTAAAGAATAAAGCCTGGAGACAAAAACAAAATGAAAATAATGTATATAAGAATACAATTCAAGGACAAACTCTGTGAGCCAAATTATGTTTTTTTTTTCCAAAAAAATCCTCTCTATTATTCTCTGATTACAAACAAAATTGTGATAGAAAATGAAGGGGAAAGGAAACCAGTATCTTCTGCCTTCTCCACATGAAAATTGAAGATTTCACAAAAGTCAATGATCACAGAAAAACTCGAGTGTAGCTTGTTTATGCATTTTGTTTTACTTTCTTCATCAGCTCGACGAACTCTCTAAAAGCTGCGGCGACAAAAGTGCTTAACGTCAATGCGCGGAATAAATAACCACAATGCAGAATATAGGAAAAACACTGACTGCATATAGAAACAATAGAGCGGAGACTGGCTCTGAGCTCATTATCACGCTAAATGAAGATCTCAAAGATTGCTCAGATACAATTGAACATAGTATATTATGAACTTTAGAATGTTAAAAAATTAATTCTATACGTAGTTCAAAGTTGTGTGGACATGAAAATTGAATTTCTTACTTACCATAGTCCGAATCATGAGGTCCTGGAGATGCTTCAGGATGGTATTGAAGGGACATAATGTTTTTTGCAGGATAAGCAAGGCCAGCGCAGCTTCCATCATTAAGATTTACATGAGTCACTTCCACACCCTCCGGGAGCGATGCAGGATCGACTGCGTAGTTGTGATTCTGCGAAAGGATAACCACAGAATAATAAGGAAATAATCGGTAATTAAAAAAAGTTACATTCACCTAAAACATAGACCAAGTATTTATTTAACTGCTGCATTCTCTAAAATCAACTACGTGAAAAATGCACTTCCCATTCCAACTCCTAATCAGTGTTAAAGAGCAAGAACATTAGATTTCCTAGCCATTAATAAATGCAATAAAAAACTGGTCTTTTTTAAGCTACGTACCTGAGCACTAATCTCAACATGACCAGTTCTAAGATTACAAACTGGATGATTTCCTCCGTGGTGACCAAACTTCATTTTAAAGGTTTTACCACCCAGTGCCTGTCCGAGCAGCTGATGACCCATGCAGATTCCAAAAACAGGAACCTTTCCAAGTATTTCCTTGACTGTTTCAACAGCATAAGGAACGGCAGACGGGTCTCCAGGGCCATTGCTGAAAAGAACCCCATCTGGCTTCATTTTTAGCGTCTCTGATGCCGGCCATGTTGATGGCACAACAGTAATTTTACAGCCATAAGACGCCAATCGCCTAAGTATGTTATGCTTGATTCCAAAATCGTATGCAACAATCTTCAAACCCATATGAAGAAAAAAGGAGTTAATTACCAAAAGCACATTATCGTTTTCACGCGCGCGCACGCATACACACACGAATAAAAAATAAACACTTTAGGATTGATCACTCACCCGGAATGTTTCTCCACCAGTGGAGTTAAAATCCCATTCGGAATTCGTTTTATCAACCCATTCATAAGGGGCCTTACATGAAACACCACTAATTAAGTCAATGCCTACAAAGACAAATTAAGTTGTGAATGTTACTTTTCTTTCTTCTTTTTTCCACCCTCTCAAGTTCTAAAACCCTATTATACAACTGCATGAAATCCTTACCAACAATATCCCATGAACGTGACATTTCTAATAGTTCCTCATCTGTTTTGGATTCCTCTGTACTCAAGACACCAATGAGGCTTCCATCTTCCCTTAATCGACGGGTAATTGCACGTGTGTCAACGTCATCTGTTATATAATGAAAAAGGCATGTAATCAGCAGTCGGAAATTAAACAAAAAAGCTAACAATAACAAGCCTATTCCCTCTGCAAAAATAAGTAACTAAATAAATTCTCCACGTGGTTAACTTACAAATTCCCATGATGTTCCTTTTTGCCAAATAATCACCCAGTGTTTCTTTGCATCGCCAATTTGAAGTACTGGAAGATTATTTGTCAGGGGAAAGAAACAATAAATCGAAGATTATTTGTCAGGGGAAAGAAACAATGAATCGATCGAAGGTAAATCAGAAAGACAATTGGATGAATATTCATGAAGTAGCAATTGGAGAAGAAAGTGAACCTGATAGTTAAACTTCTGATCACTAGGCCGGCAAGAAAGCATTCACTTGACTCTTCATCATCTAACAATAGAGAAAATTCATATAAGAAGGTATGACCTCCAAGATAAAGAAGTTTTTTTCAAGAGTGAATGAGAAAAACTTCACCTACCAAAATTTACACCAGTATTTCCAATGTGGGGATTTGTCATAAGCACAAACTGACCAGCATAGCTAGGGTCAGTAAGAATTTCCTGATACCTGCAGTATTATTGTAGGAAACCATGAAGCCAACTCCAAATTATAAGCCACAACAACTTTTGAAAGTAAAGGTGTACTTTTCTTTTTCATTTTTCTTTGGTCAATGCAATTATCTTGACCAACACAACTGTAGTAAGAGAGTGTTTGGTGGATGGGTTCAGACAATCTAAATCCATTAGCTCAATCCAAATTGTTGTTTGATAAGTTACTCTGGGTTGGTTTAAGGCCATTTCAGAATATACTTCCCCCCTAAGTTCACCCAATCCGAACCTATTTGCTACAATATACGAATGTTTTTTCCCCCTAAATTCATCTTTTCAACATGCTTCCTAACACAAATTCAGGTTTTATCCCATTTCAGATTTGACACTTTAACTGCATACCCAAACACCAGTTCAGATAGTAATTTAGACCATAATGTTCAGATTTTGCAATTCAAACTCAAAGGGTTCAAATCGCTACAATTTGAACCCACGAACGAAATGGAACCTAAGTAATAGGCTATGCATTTCTTTTGTCATTTTTCTTCAGTCATTTTCCTTCCCCATAATACAAAAGAAACCGAATAAATTTAATGCCATCACCATGTTAAGTCTATGCAACTATGGTAAGAAAGTTCCCTCTCAAAACCCCATTTGTCCCCTTTCAAAAATCACAAGGATAATATGTTGATAACTAATAAATTATAGAGTTTTATGTATCATCTCACCCAGTCAAAGATGTATTGAATACAACTTCACCAAGTTGGGTTCCTGAAGCACCGAATGACTTGGCTTTCCAGACTGAACCATCTTCAAGCACCAATCTAGCATCTGACACCTTCCAAGGTCTTTCTGCCAACCCTAAACAAAACACACAGAAAATCAGACTATATATTATTGTATTATATTACCACAATGTCAAGAAAAATATTAATGAATGTGGCCAAAGAGAAGATTGCCAAGCTCATCAGAGGAAAATAATTTTAAATAATTTTTTTTTTTTGAAGGATTGAAGATATTATTTTTCCAAAAGGAAAATAACAAAAAAAGGTTGATAACTATATATAAAGAGAGTTTTTTTTTTCTTTTTTTTTTTTTCCTTTCATTATCCAAGTATATTAAGAGAAAATTACGAAATTCAAACGAAATTGGAAATCCTCAACTCAAACACAAGAGACGAATAGAACACTGTTTCAATAAGAAGTAGTCGTTTATTAATTAAATAACAAAAGCATCGAAAAATCCCTAAAACCGGAGAAAATGTAGAACCTTAAAACGAGACAGAACGAGAATTTTGATTACCAGAGGCGGCAAGTTGGGATTGGGAGGCGCATCTGAGAGTCAAAACCCTACACTTCGGAGATGCTGAAGAAGAAGAAGAAGAATTGGGCTTTATCAGTGTGAAGCTCATGGAAGCTGAGGCCGCCATTTTTGTGTCTCCAAGTGAAGAGGTGGTGAAGTTCCAAGTGAACGTCAGGTGGGTTTTAGAGATTTTTTAAATGCAAGGTAAATGAATAATGTTTTTTTTTTTTTTTTTTGGTTAACTGACGGGATAAATAACTTTTTAATGTTTAATTAACAAATTTTTTTTTG